AGAGGCTTTCAAGTCCCTTCCTACCTCTGTCACCTCCTAGACTCCTGTTCCCATTTGATTGGTATCCCTCAGACTTAATATATTTTGATATAACTCAATAAGGCAGTTTTGTTGTGTTGGATACCCTGGATTTCCTCTGCTGTCGTCACTCCTACCCCAGTCTTCTCTGTACCCTCTAGTCCCCATTGTTGATCTTCCTATGTAGTTCTTCCTATCACCACATCTTGGGGATTCATAGAATCCTGACCATGACCTAAGTTCAGATCTGAATTAGGAGTCAGAAGTCTGGGGCACACCTGAGGGTATAGGAGTAGCCAGTTTCTCTGGCTTCTTCACCTTGCCAAGAGAAATTTCAAACTTGGCCTGGCCTCTCTTGTGTTCTTTCTCTACACCTCACAACCCAACTCTTGTCCAGGGACTTACTCTGCCCACTTACTACTAGTACCACAGCTGCTCTCTCCTCACCAGCTTCATTGTCAGGCCTGTCCCCTCAGGCATGCCCAGTAATCAAGATGCTTGTCACACTCCTTCTACCCTAACCCTCCCTTGCAGTGCCACTCAGGCCTGCCACTCACCTCTGAGTAGAGCAAACTTAGCTAGGCCTCCCAGCCTTTTCCTGTAAATGCACTCATAGCCAGGAGGAGTGCCATATTAAATCAAGACTGATGGAAACCAGGGGCTGTGATTATCCAGCCAAGATGCAGCATGGGAAGCTGACTGCTGCCTGCTCCAGGTGAGAGTGTCTGAAGTTAATTGTACCAGGCTTTTATTAGGAAAATGGTCACTCTCCACAGCTGCTCTCCTGGCAGCCCCTTTGCAGGACCTCTCAGTTCAGCGCCCTCTGCTTCTGTTGTCTCCTTACCTACCATGTCTTCTAGATAAGTGGAACCCCACTCTAAAGCAGAACTTTGAACTCAGCCCTGTAGCCTTCCTCCACGTGCCAGGCACAGCAATAGCCTGCATCCATGGAGCCCTCAGAGCTCCTCGACTTCTGCTTCCTCTCCCCCAGGTTGAACAAATACAAATCAAGTGTTTTCCTTCTCTAGTTACTTGGGTTGATTTTTTTTTTTTTTCAACTCACTAACTTTCTACAAGTCTGGGCTGAGGACAGATGCCTTTAAAAAGTGATTCATGCCTAGTATGGACAAGGCTGAGTATTCAATCTCTAGTAGTGTAAAGTAATACAAATTAAAAGAGGATTAGTACACTTTTTTTTAAGTGGGTTTTTTTTGTGTTAATTTAATCATAAAAATATTCATTTACATGGTGAGGAAAAATCTCATCTTCATCTCCTCCTAGGCACCACAAGGCCCCACCAGACACCCACCACTGTTCAGGTGGGAGAGACAGTAAGCTGCCCCCACATTCACCCACGGAAACAAAGGATAACAGGGCAAGGGTGGGGACAACACATGAGTCTGCATTTGTGAGCCCTGGCCACCCTTTCCTGCTTTCCTGCTGGGAGCTCAGGCTAAACTTGGGGGTCCTAACACTCATGCCTATTTCCCACCTTGGCGACTGCCAGGCTTACAGTTACAGCCGGTCTGTGCTGGGAGAGGAGGCTGCTTTTGTAGAAAAATGCCCCCAATTCAATTATCCCCATGGCAAAAAGAAAACAGGCATGCACACATGCACACACACATACCTACATATACCCGACTCCACACAGACTCTTCCCAAGCCTGCACCCACCCACCTTCCCAGCTGGGGTCAGGCCCTTACCACCTGAGACTTGGTGTCTGCCTCACCTCGTGGGTGCCAGACTGGGGTCCTGACAAAAGGTGGCCTAGTGCGTGTGAAGGCTCCAAAGGGCTGCAGGAAGAGGAGACCCAGGAAGCCATGGGTCAAGGCCTTCTGAATGAGCTACCTTTCAAGGACGCACAGACAGGACTTGTTTCTGGGAAGGAAGCCAGGGTACCTGAGCTGTTACATTTGCCAAGTGAGGTTGCTACAAGTGGGAAGGGGCATAAGATGGGAGGGACACTCAGTGACAGTGGCCCACGAGGCCCCTGGTGGGGAACTGAGAAAGCATGGTACCTAGTAGGGGACAGATGGGGAAGCCAGTGAGGCCAGGAAGCAGGGACAAGGGCTGGGCATGCAAGTGCTGATTAGTGCACTTTTTAATTCAAACTCCTCTACACCTTGACAAAGAAACACAAAGCAGTAACATGTGGTCTCATTTAACCCCCAGCATGCTGCATATTTTCTATTGTGTGTGTGATTTACGTGATACATGTATATAAATTCAGATTTGTATATGCCATGGTGCACATCTGTGTAGAAGTCAAAGAGCAACTTTTAGAAGTTGTGCTGTCCTCCCACCATAGGATCTGGAGATTAAAATCAGGCAGACAGGTCTACAAAGCAAGCACATTAATCCAGTGAGCCATCTTGCCAGCCCTCCTATACAATTTTATCAAAGAAATCTGATATACTTCCAAATTTCTTTCTAAATAAATAGCTATTTGAGACTAGAGCTTGGGAGGATCCCAGTGTGATCTAGGGGTTAATTTCATTGGAACCTTTCCCAAAACCATCTAGGAAGTTCTCAAGAAACCAATCAATCACTCATATCCATTCCCCCATGCTCACTTCCATAGTAATTAGAGACACTTGCCCTTTGTCCAAGAAATTATAGCAACATAAAATCTTGACCCCAAAGAAAAGTTACAGGAAGAAGAAAAGTTTTCTGGAGACTACTTGGGGAACCACAATGGTCATACCTCACACAACAAAGTGGAATAAAAAGTCTCATTAAGTGGCTTTGCCTGGCACAAAGGGGAAAGGTGTGTTCTATGAGGCACCATAGATAGAAAATAATGCAGAGACAAGAATTATGCCATGTAAGGAAAACTGGTGGCCAGAGACGGCTGCCTCGGGTTGTCAGGGAATCCCCAGAAATGGACTATGAGGAGACAGCACCTGCAGACTGAGGTTCCAAGAGAGGGAGCCACAGGAGGCTCTTTCCAGGCGGCAGACACCCGAGTGGGCTTGGTCCCAGCTTCTGCTTAAGCCAGAGACCTCTTCTTTCGGTCTATGGTCCTCTCCCTGTGATTAAAAGGGTTCCTGAACTTGGCCTCCCACCCCCCACCAAAAAAATAAATAAATAAATAAAAAAGACGATAGATTAGCCAGTTAGTTACCAAATGGAGTAAAGGGAAGTAGTATTTATCCAAGACCAGTGCTTGCCTAGCATGAGCAAGAACCCTAGGCCAATCCCCAGTCCTTGGAAGGAAAGGGAAAGATAGAGCTTCATAAGGTTAGGTGGTTCGATGACATCTGAGTCACTCTGACTACCACTTAGAATCCACCCACATCTGCCTGCCAGGCTCTGCCAAGTGCTGATCTCATTTCCTCCTTAAGCTTCCTACAGGGTAGGTATGAGCACTATCTCCATGCTGTGATAAGGGAACTGTGATCCTGGGAGGAAAACTCACTACCCAAGGTCACTAGCTCTTAAATGGATAAGGTCACTGGAGTTCAGATCTGTCTACAGAGACGCTTGTTCATTCTGCCACATAATAGTTCATGAGGAGCCCCAGATGTAGGGGTGACTTGAAAACTCGAGGCACTGGATGAAGTGTCATGGCTGTGTGTAAATTTGCCCAGCAAATCCTGGCAAGCCAAGTTCATCTTCAGACTCCTTCAGGCTCTGTCCAAAGTTGACAACATTCCAGTGAGTGTATGTGTATGTGTGTGTCTTGCCATCAGCACCTCCCAGCCCAGTGGGCCTGAGTGCTGAATGGGCTTGTGGGCAGGGAGGAGGAAGAGGCAGATATATGGCTGGAGTTGGCAGAGCCAGGTGATGTATGTGGCGCCTGAGGGAGCTGCACAGTGACACTCTGGATTCCAGCCGGCAAGCGTCACTCCACTGGGATCGGCGCTGAATTATTGCTCCATATGAAACCGAGGACTGATGGGAGCTTTCAGTTACAGACTGATAGCAACAGCCAAAATTGGATTGTTTGCTATTTATTTTTTTTAACTTCTGTCAAGGTCACTACTATAACAGGAAAACACTACCCAAGCAGCAGGTATTTTTCATCCACTCTGCCCGCAAGAACAATCTGCAACCACAACTTCTATGACAGGGCCTTACCTTGTCAGCTCTCTCCCAAGAAAGATGCCCTCGTTACTAGGGCCACCTAAGACCTGGCATTTGCTTCTCAGTTTAGGATCTGCCTATTTCTGCTTCAGTAAATGATTCCCCTTCAGGCCTACACCCTCAGCTCCCTCTGTCCAGTTGCCAGTCCTCTAACGTCTTCAAATGTCCTAAGTTCCAGAAAGCCCTGGTCCAAGCATTCCATATTTCTATATCTTCCTCTTTTCTGTATGTCTACACCACCCTGTCTAGCTGTTAATTATCTTTTTTGTGTCTACCCTTTCATTAATTTTTCTTTCTCTCTTTCTCTCTTTCTTTCTTTCTTTTTCTTTTCAAGACGGGGGTTTTTCTGTATCTTTGGAGCCTGCCCTGGAACTTGTTCGGTAGACCAGGCTGGCCTCAAACTCACAGAGATCTGCCTGTCTCTGCCTCCCGAGTGCTGGGATTAAAGGTGTGCGCCACCACCGCCCAGCACCTTACATTAATTTTTACACTCACCAGATGCTGCTGCTGGGTCAGAGCCCGTGCCCAAAGCAACTACAGCCTGCCCTTAGAAAGTGCTCTGTGGAGTCAGGATAGGCTTACAGACATTCAGAGACTCTTCCAGTAGCATTGTTAGTGAAAGGTAAAGTCATAGATAGAAGCACTTAAGACTGTCAAACCACGAGGAGTGTGATTGGTTCTGCCCAAGAAGCATTTGTGGATAGACCCTGCCACTCCTGCTTGTCCCAAACAGTGGGGCTAGCTAGGGATGATCTGGACCAACCTTCAATGGTCATGAGCCAGATTAGGACCCCTGGAATCCCAATATCTTCAGTTTTCCCCTGCACCGAGGGACAGATTAACCCAAGATCTACCTGAGACCAGCCTCCCTGAACCATTTGCTCTCTTCCCCCAGTACATGGAGAAGCAGAGGAAGCGTGAGGCAGAAGAGAGGCGCCGCTTCCCGCTAGAGCAGCGACTGAAGGAACACATCATTGGCCAGGAGAGTGCCATTGCCACCGTGGGTGCTGGTGAGTCCTCAACACTAGTCAGGTGGGAAAGGGTCAGGGCAGCTTGTGCTCCACAGAGGTGCGAGTCTTGCTGCTCCAAAGCCAGAAAGTTGTGGTTTATATTCATGTTATCATTTGCTGAGTACCATCTGTATGCCAGACATTGTCTTTAGCTCTTGGCATATTTTAGGTCATTTAGTCCTTATAACAACGCTATGAGATGGGCACCATCAAATACCATTTTACAGAGACATGGTGCAGCATTTAAGAAATTTGCTTGAGGCTACTTTTCCCTGTACTTCAATTGAACTCTTGCCATCATCTGGTCCACTACCCCATCCCTACTTTTAAGGTGGGACACCTGAGATTCAGAGATGGGTGGTAGCTGAGCTAGAACAAGTCTTCAGTTCCCATATGCCAGCCAGCCCAGAATTTACTCCCAAACTTTGAGAATGGTTTGCCAGCAGCTGCATGGCCAGATCATGCAGAAAACATCCCAAGAAATACCTTCTTCCCCACTGATAAACAGCTTATTCTCATCCTGAGGGCTTCCTACCAAACACAGCTCTCTCTTGACAGGTGTGTACAGTGGGTGTTGATGAAGGCAGGGGCCTCACCTTTGTTCTACAACTCAGACCTGTGCCTGTTTTAGGGTGACTTTAGGCAGATGAGGTAGGGAACCAGTTGCCTGTACCAGACTAAAGTGGGGTCATGCCCTGGAGACAAGTGATTCTCAGCAGCTCCTCAAGCCCAGAAGCTAAAACACTCCCCAGAAACAGCATTTTATGGGGCACTGAGATGCTGTTTTCCTCTGTGCACCTCAGCTTCATTGGAATCATTTTCCTTGCCTTTATAGTGAGAGTCACCCCATGACTCTGAAGCCCATGTTTTTCTATCTGCCACAATCTAGTCCCTGTCCTCACGATGTTTTCTTGGATTGGGTCCTATACTCTTGATTAAGCCCAGAGCTGATTTCTTTCACCTGTAACTGGGCACCCAGTCCCAGCTTGCCTCTTCCCCAGCACTGAGCTGACCTCTGGTGCCTGTCTTGATGTCATCCCTTACAATTGCTTCAGACTGGGTGATCTGCTCTCCACCTCCAAGAACTGTCAGAATATGCACCCTGGGAACTCCATTCCCTGAAAGCCTCTCTCTGTCTGAACTCTGCATGAGGTCAGCAGTAAACTAGCTTCCAGGAAGGCCCACTTCTTGCCCCATTGTATATAGATTGGCCCTGCTATGGCTCTGGTGACCCTACCACAAGACAGTGCCCTTGGGACCCATGTTGTACAGGACTTTGCCTTTTTTTTTATTATTATTATTTCATTTGCTGTGCCCCTGCCTTTCTGAGGAGCCCTGCCACTGGATCACACTCAGAATGTCCTGCACCATGTTTATCTCTGTGACCAGATCCCAGAAGCTTCTGGATGCCCAGAAGAAAGAGTGAGCAGCCTAGTGGCTGCAGCTGCAAGCCTATTCAAAGCATGAGGCGCTTTCTACCCAGGACCTCAGCACCATAGAACCCCAGCAGGCAGAGGAGGGTAAGGCAGATCTAAAGACCATGTCAGGCCTTTCTGGATTCTCCAAGCTAGTGTCGCATGTGTGTTAGGGAATATCTAGATGGGGACAGAGCCTGGCACCCCATGGGTACCATGAGGATGGGCAGCCAGAGAAGTGCTGCAGAATGAATTGATTTGATAAATGGCCATTTATTACCCTCACGAATTGGCTGAAACCAATTTCGGTCACATCAACCTCTGGTAAGTGCTGGGATATTGATTTGTGCAAAGTAATACAGTGAATTTATCAGTGTGATCCCCAGCTGCGGGGTTTCTAGCAATGCTGGCGCACAGTTACTGCCTTACAAATGGAGGAGCTAAAGCACCAGCCCTGCAAACCAAGCCCCCAAGGCTACTCTTGTCTGTTTGGGTCACCAGATCCACAAGGCCAAACTACATACCACATGGGCATGGAAAGTGAATTTCACCTTCCAGAATGCAGTCAAGGGATGGAAGATGTCATTCTGGGTAGCAGACTTCCTGAGAGCTCAGGACAAGCCCCGCTCACCTCAGAAAGGCTGTCTGCTGAGCATATTAAGAACTAGGCATCCATTCACTAGTCTCCTAAATAGAAATATAGACATTTCCTTGGCTTTGCCTTCCTTCCTTTTCGCCCAGTACAACTCAGGTATCAAGTTCTGCCATTCTCTTCCATGGTTCTCAAACTTAGCTTCTCTTCCTTTTCCTGTACAATTTTTACTTACCTCATGACTGTGATAAAATATCTAACAGTAGCCAGGTGGTGGTGGCACATGCCTTTAGTCTCAGCACTTGGGAGACAGACAGAGGCAGGCAGATCTCTGAGTTCAAGGCCAGCCTGGCCTACAGAAGGAAGATTTTATTTGGGCTCATAGTTCAAGAATGTAGTCCATAATAGCAGGAAACCATAGCGACAGGGGCTTCAGGCAGTTGGTAACAGAGCAAGCAGTTAATGCTGATGCTTAGCCACTTTTTCCTTGTTATTGAGTCTGGCACCCTGCCCATGAAATGGTGCCACCCATGGTCTAGGTGGGTTTTTCACCACAATTAACTTAATCTAGATAATTCATCACAGGCATGGTCAGAGTCTTGTCACCTAGATGAGTCTAGAACCTGTCAAGTTGACAGCAAGTACTATCATGTCCTGATACTCTGATCTGGCCATGCATTGGCCTCCTTTCCTTCCCTTGGTGTTCCTGCTGGGCCAGAGTGATCATTAGAAAACACAAATCTAAGTACCACTCCCTTGTTGAAGCCTTTGAGTGGTGCCTATTGTCCTACTGTGGCAGATAGGGCTTACTGCTGCTGTTGCCGCCACCTCCATCTCTGCCCCTGCTTGCACTCACACCAGCCACAACAGCCTGCCTCTGTCTTCCCACACACATGATGCTGCTTTCCCATCTGAGTCTGTCACTACTGCCCTCTTAGTCTTTAGCAGGCCTTCCTGCCACCCTAGTGTCCAGCCCAGCCCTACACACTAGCTAACCCAGTTCAGGAGCAATGAACTTCAGGCTCCTTGTAAGAAGAAACCAGGACATGTTTGTGTTATCCACTTTCCACTCAAAGTAGGTGCTGAAGCAGTTTGTGAAATTCACTTATGTGGTATGGCCCCTTGTCTGCCCTGTCAACTGCTCTGAGGAAAGAAGAGAAGCTATAGCACCAGCCCTCTGGTAGCTCACAAGCCTACTGGAAAGGGAACTCTAGTGAGGTTCAGCCATACTCATTGGCCTTTGACCTCATGGGTGGGCAGCAGGTCAGCCTGCAGCTTCAGAACTGTGTCTGTGTAAGGACACAGGCATTACAGACATTCCCCCAGGTCCCAGGAGATCCTCGGAATCCTCATGCAACTCTATCCTTCCACATTACATCTGCCCTAGGGCCTGACCACGTGCCCCTCCATAGCATGTCTTCCAGTTCTCCCTGGACTTAAGGCCCTTTCCCTGTGAGCATCTGTCATTACATTGATGGTTTGATATCAGCTGCCCAGGCTGCCCCAGAACCTTGATGCTCATTACATTGATGGTTTGATATCAGCTGCCCAGGCTGCCCCAGAACCTTCCGTTGGATGGAAGCAAAACCCTGGCCTGAGAGGAGATAGCTCTTTCTTCTCTTTGCCTCTTTATACACCAGAGCCTTCCCAGAATGCCCTATTCTGCCTCATGCTTCAAGCATGAGTGTCATCCAGTTACAGATGCTCTGCCATACTCCCAGCACACCATCCCATCTCAAGCCCGCAGTCTCCGTGGCAGTGTTTCCCTCAGGGGCGCATGCCAAGTAAATGGCAAAGCTTGTCTGCAGAAAGGATGCCTAAGGTTCCCTAGAGGGCTCAGGAGAGACCAGAAGCCTTTGCCCAGAGTGGCAGAAACCACCTGCAGGACTGAGTCTCTCCCAGTCACTGTCCTCTGTAAAAAGGGAACTGGAGAATCAGCCTTCCTTTTTACAGTCCCAGAAATACCAAGAATTAATTTAGTCAATGAACATTAAACCATCAAACCAGTGAGAACCTAGTCGTAACAATCCTTAAGTAATTAAGAGTGCCCAGCACCAGCCTCCCCATAACAGATTCAGGTTGGGGCACTTCTCCCCCAGATATAAGGGCACAGGTAGTAGAAGAAAACACCTTACATTGATTTCTCATGTCTGGTTCCTTAGTTTCCTCCTATATGAAGCAGAGACGATACATGCTTCTTGAGATTATTGTACTGTTGAAAGAGAGATTTTAAAATGCTGATACCAGCCAGGTATAGTAGCACACGCCTTTAATCCCAGCACTCAGAGGCAGAGGCAGGTAGATCTCTGTGAGTTTGAAGCCAGACTGGTCTACAGAGTGAGTTCTAAAATAGGTAAGGCTACATAGAGAAACCCTGTCTCAAAAAACAAAAACAAAGAAAAAAGGCTGACACTGAGCTGGTCTGTGGTGCTATGGTGGCTCACACCTTTAATCCAGTACTTGGGAGGCAGGGGCAGGTGGATCTCTGAGTTCGAAGCCAGCCTGGTCTACAGGGTAAGTTCCAGGACATTCAGGGCTACACAGAGAAACCCTGTCTCAAAATAAATAAATAAATAAATAAGTACATAAGTAAATAACAAATAAAAAAATTTTACATGCTGACACTGACTACCACTGTTGCTACCACTATGACTCCCATTGCTTCCATTGCCCTCTCTTAGCAGCTTTTCTTCATGCTTTCCCAACCATTAACTTGCTTCATCTTCATGAGGAGCTGACAATATATGAGTCTGTCTATTTTAGAAATGAAGAAACAGACTATATAAAGGAATAGGTATTTTAATTAATGAGTCAGCCAACAAGACTCCACTAACTCATCTCCACCACACCACCCTGTAAAGGAATACACATGAGAGAACTGATAGGCTAGGGCTGTTATGGTGGAGTTAATCCTGCAGACTTGGTACAGATGAGTTCTTCAAGCCCGGAGTTGGTGACGCACGCCTTTAATCCCAACACTTGGGAAGCAGAGGCAGGCGGATCGAGACCAGTCTGGTCTACAGAGCAAGTTCCAGGACAGCCTCCAAAGCCACAGAGAAACCCTGCCTGGAACAAACAGATGTGTTCTTCAGTGGTGTCTCACGGTAACAGCTGTGGCCAGGAGAAAGCATCTAGAAAGGGACAGACACAAGCAAGAGGTGCACCAGCGCAGCTTGTGACAGAAGAGGCACCTGGTTGGAACTTGAGGAGCTGTGGCTTATGTGGGGAGTGGGGGGAGTTGCCCCGTAGAAGCCCCAACCCCCACACACACACCCCCACCCCCCACACACACACACACCCCACCCCTGCTATGGAAAGCCAATAGTGGGAAGGACAGGATCAGGTGACTATGCTGGATGGCTGAGTGCTCCAGATTGGAGGACTACAGAGGGAAAATTTTTGAGAGGGAGTTAGGGCTGGGAGAGCTGCCTCCCCTTACTGTGCTCCTGATAGTGTATGTTCAGGGTTAGCCACGGTGGGGCCAAAGCCCTGCTCTTCTGATTATGTTCCTTTGGACTTGTGCAGGTTTCCTAATGTCTATGGATATATTCTCATATTCTCACTCATAAAGCAGGGATCAGAATGAGGAAATGTGACATTACTATAAAGTGCTAGCCAAGTAAGTTGCGCATGTACTAAGCCACAGAAAGAGTATCGACAGGCACTGTGGCTGCATGCATGTGGGCCCACTCAGGTCTCCATCTGACCCAACCTTTACCCCAGCCTGAGAGGACTCTTCCAGGCTCCCCAGCCTCAGTCCTCAGCCGCCCAACCAGCCATATACACCCTGGGGCTTGCCTTCCCCATTTTTCCCTAGCTGCCTTCATTTTTCATTCTGTCGGACTCCATCTGCTTGGCCGTTTTTCTCTTCAGATATTATTAGAAATATCCAGAGTTATAATTGTTTAATGGTTGGCATTTCGCCTGTTTCACAGGGACCCTAGAGCAGGCCCACCCCAAACTCATGCCCTGGGTCTGGCAGAATTGACCAGGGACAGCTGTGCAGTGGAGTCTGCCTGGCATTATAAAGAGCTCTCTCCCAGGTGCATTATTAGAAAGGAAGGGGAAAGATGGCCCCAGGCGTAATTCAATTCCACATTCTCCATGGTGTTTTTTTTTTTTTCCCCTCTGTGTGTGTGTGCTGCACAACCCAGCAATGTGCAGCTCTCAGTGGGAAAGTCTAAACCTGCTTCAGGCTTCCTCTGTTCCCAACATAGATTCTCAAATCTGCCAACTTTTGGAAGAATGTGGCTCTTCAGCTGGCCCTCTCTCAGGCCTGCCCCCATACATGCATGTTCACACAGAGCATTCACAAAGTCTTACCTTCTGCTGATTTACTACCTGAACTTTTCCCCAAATAGCCTCCCCCCAGCTCCATGTTTCTGTTGCCACCAGGGACTCCTCAGACAGGCTTGGGATTTGTCCCTTTATCCCCGTGTTCAGGCCCATGAGGTCTCTGAGTACTCCTAACCAGCCCTTCGGAGAACCCCAGCCAGCCCGTTAGAGCAGATCCAGATGCCAGCCCAGGGGAGCCATCAGGATCTTTCACCAAGCCCTTCTCTGGGAGCAACTCCTGGTAGCACAGGTGGCTAGTTTGGGTTCCATGAGTTTGTACTGCTTCCATCTGTTTCTAGAATGTGAAGAAGATGACAAGCATGGCGCTGAAAGCATTATACAGTGTCCCAGACTCAGTCAGCTCCTACCCATCTCTTATGTCCGTGTGTCCCTGCCCCCTACCCCTGGCTTTGTGATGGCCACCTCTGCAGATCCTGTCAGCCCCTGTGCCCCTGTGATCTGTCATCAGTCCTGCAGCTGCTTTGAAGCTCACCTGGGTAACATTTGGGAGCTTGACTCCTCAAGATTGGCAGGCACATCCCTAAGACTGTTGACTCCTTCTCCATTGAGTAAGTTTCCAGGTCTTGTGCTCTGACATACATCCTTTTATTTTCCTCTGACACTCTAGGGACCAGACCAGACACACTGTTCCATCTGCAGACAGACCCTGACATTGCACAGTGCTCTGCCCTCTTCCTGCTCCTAGCCACTATGTTTCCATTAGTGCAACCCAAATTGGTACTCACTTCTTAAAGCGGCTGTATTGTGATTTTTTTTTTTTTTTAAATAAAGGCAAGTTTGGGGAAAAAAGCAACTCTTATATGACTTAAACAGTATCTTTATCCATCCTTCTGTTTTCTCTTCCAGTTAATGGAGTTAAAAATCATTTCCCTTCAGTGTTTCTGTGGGTCTTGAATAAATAGGTTGTTAGTAGTTTTCATTTGTACCTGGTGTACAGTGTGTTCAATAAATGACTCTTCTTGTGGCTCTGCCTCATTCTACTCCCTGCTCTTCCACTTGAGGCCTGGTTCTCCCACGCCATAGCTGAGGCTCAGTTTCCTCACTTTCATGCATAGCCCTTGGCCACTTATTTCCTTGTAAAGAAGGGCCTCGAGGGACTCTGGCTCTGTCCCACTACTCACCCCCAGCCTTCCAGAAGCCATAGTTAGCAGAGATGGACCCCAAGCTCTACACGACCCTTGATTGGCTTCCAGATTGCCTCTGTTTCTGCTTCTTAAACCACATAACACAGTAGTCATTGGTTTCCCCCAAAGGGGAAAGAGCCAAATCTTAACACCTCCCTGGGTCCCCAATTATCACCATAAAAATCATGCCTCTACTGTTTCCCTGGGTGAAGAGAGGAGTGACCAGAGAGAGTTAATGCTCCTCTCAGATTCTCTTTCACCAATCCCCCACCCCCTTTACCTCCATTCACCATCCACCCGCCTTTTGGTTTCCCTGGCAACGCTGAGTGCTCATCCTGGAAAACTTTATCCGAAATCTGCTCTGGGCAGCTTTCCAAATCCATGCTAACCTGATTAGGTATCTCTAGGGGCCTTGCCAGCTAATCAGATTAGGCAGCACTAATGGTAGTGAGGACTTTGAGTGGGCGCAGAGCAGTAAAACATATTGTATACTTAGTGATAATTATCCTGCCTTTTGTGTCATTGATTTATCTGTCTCCCTCCCCATTCCGTGTTGTGTGTTTGGCCATAGCGATCCGGAGGAAGGAGAATGGCTGGTACGACGAGGAGCACCCTCTGGTCTTCCTCTTCTTAGGATCATCTGGAATAGGTAATCACAGGCAAATCAGGCACTGGGGCAGGAGAGCTGGAAAAAACATTTGGCCTCAGCCTGACAACTCCAGAAACAGCTGCCCCAGACTGCAGAGCCACCAAAAAAGAAGACCTGGGCGTTTTAATCATATGCCATGTTACCAAGAGCTGGAATCACTACTCCTTCCCCTGTTATGGGGCAAGGGTGAATATACTTGGTGCACCAGGCCACTGGGGCCTGTTAGCCCTGGCCCAGGTACTGTGCATCCCCATAGGCTCACTCTGGGAACAGCTGAACCACCTTTACTGCCTGGCACATGAGCTGTACTCAGGCAGCTCACCTTTGGGAGGCTCAGGAAACTCCTGTGCATAGATAGTGTGCTAGTTCCGGTGGGGTTGGGGGCTTTTCTATCAGTTGGGCTGTATCCTCTGAAATAATTCTTGGCTTTTCCTCCACCCCTATCTCCCTCCATGATCTAACTACTGCCTCTTCCCCTCCCAGCACCCTTATGGATCTAAATCTCCTTAGAACCCAAAAAGTTGGTAACCCTTATCATGAAGCTGTATGTACCACATAGTGGCTTTACCATCATTCTAGATGACTTTGGAGTTTTCTTTGTCACAAGAAGATCTGTGGAGCCAATGAGAAGAGCTCTATCCTCTTCTAGCCTTTTCTTGGTTTGAAGTTTCAGCGTCTAGCTGAATGGCAGACCTTGCCTGTTTAAGAAAGATGCATGTCATGAGGCAGTAAGCAGGGCTCTCCAAGAAGAGATGAGGTTTATGCTAAGCTTCACAGGATGAGTTGGCTTATGAGTCCTCCTGCCTACAACCACTCCAAGGCTGCTGCTACAGAGAAAAGTCCTTGGTTCCATCACAGGAAAATTGGGAGGCAATGCAGACTTTGATTATGGGCCCAGCTTCACTATTCATTCCCTGGGTGTCCTTGGGAGAACTTCTGAATTTCAGCTCCCTATCCATAGAAGAAGAACTTGTCAGTGTCCATGCATTCCTAGTTTGTTTTGTTTTGTTTTGAGACAGAGTCTCTCTACTTAGCCCTAGCTGTCCCGGAACTATGTAGATCCTCCTGCCACCACTCCAGCCCTAGTGTTCTTGTTTGTTTGTTTTTTTTGTTTTGTTTTGTTTTGTTTTTTTCGAGACAGGGTTTTTCTGTGTAGCTTTGGAGCCTGTCCTGGCACTCGCTATGTAAACCAGGCTGGCCTCGAACTCACAGAGATCCGCCTGCCTCTGCCTCCCGAGTGCTGGGATTAAAGGTGTGCACCAATGCCCAGCCCCTAGTGTTCTTTTACTCCAAAGATTGTCATCTGGTCCTGATCCACCTCATCTCCCTTATTCCTAGGGAAAACTGAGCTGGCCAAGCAGACTGCCAAGTATATGCACAAAGATGCCAAAAAGGTAAGGAATTAAGACCAGGGTCTAGTCTGCAAGCCAGGGAGCCTTTGCCATTCATGCTTGTTGTCCTGAAATCTAAGCAGCAGCCAGTCAAAAAGCTGGGCTGTGGCCCCAGAAGCAGGCCTCAGGTCTAGCCAGGAATTGCTCCAGGAATTAATCTCTTCATGCCTCAATTTCTTTAGTTGAAATAGAAATGATCACCCTTAGCCTGTGTGAGTGAGGGTTCTTAGGAGATTCACCTGGTCCGTGCCAAGCATCTTGCTGGATGTACTCACAGGTAATACAGTATTTATTGAAGGCCTCTGCAGGAGCTCAGGCTAGCTAGGTGTTCCAGTCAAGTAGAACAGTGCTACAGGGAACCTTGGGAGGTCCTGCAGAGAACAAGTAGGAATGGTATGGTGTGGGCTGCTTTTTATCTAGTATGTGCCCTCAACTGGGACTGCTGCTCTGCTCCTTCCTGTAGCCCAGAGCCCTGGGTCCTCCCCAGCAAAGAGCCATTCCCAACTCCATTTATCCACACCTGGCTTTTAAAGACCTTGGATGACAGGAGATACTTTTGAGAAAGCAATCCTTGGTGACAATACAAAATATTCAGTGAAAGCTAAGTATTTTCCCAACATGAAGGCTAAGTTCCCCTTTTGCCAGGAGGTTGCCCACGACTCCAATATGCTTGACTGGTTTCGTGAACATCTTTCCCACCCCAACAGGCAAAGAAGGGGTGCTTAGGCCCTTTCCAGCTGACAGAAAACTTAACCCTTCCTGTCTCTGCTAGCAGCTGTGCTCAACCTCTACCAGACCCACTGTAGACCCACTAGACAGGCAGTCAGGCAGGCAGGCAGGGGAGGAGTGTGTGGCATGCTAATGTGCTCCAACCGAAATAGCAGCTTTGGACAATTCATCAGGTTGGCAGCGATTGAAACAATTAGCACTCTGGAAAGGGCCATAAACTAGCGAGACTATTAGGAAAGATGCAGTTACGGGCAGGAACCACCTGATTAGGGATGAAGAATTCTGAGTGGTTTAATTTTAATACTGTCAGAAAGGTTAATATTTAATTACAAATTATAATCTCCTTATCCATGCTGTCTTAATGTATCTTCATACACATTGGAAATAGGAGAGTATCTGCTGACTTGCTGCTGTAGAAAGAAGGGCCCTATTTAAAAGACTGATGATACAGGCACTTTTTAGGTGGTATATCTAAACGGGAGAATCCCCATCCCCTCCATGCAGGATGTTCCATAAGTGGGATGGTGTCTTCTATCAGTATATGCCTCCCCAAGAATGCAAGTATCACCATGTTCTTCCTACACCTGCTGTTTGACAGTGAGCTATCGTTCACCAAGCTCCAGAGCCAGGGACTCTTGGCTCAAGTTCCAGTTCTGTTTTCTCCTGGCCCTAGGTAGCTCCTTCCCTGCAAAATCATCTTTCTTGACTTAGGACAGAGCTCTCCCATTCTGTCTGAGGTTGTGGTAAGCATTAGTTCACTCAGGTTTCAGCATGTTGCATAGACTACTCCCTCACCTTTATCCTGTCCCCAGCAATGCCCACCTGCTGTATGATCTATCTTGAGCCTATGAGGAACTTAGCAATGCTAACTTAGACCTGCTTTTTAGTTGAGAAAACTTGCCCTCGAGTAGCAAGAGGCTTGCTCGAGGTCATTTGTTAGGAAGAGGCGTGAACCCAGAGTCCAGCCTTCCACTCCTTTCTTAGTACCATTATTCTAAGCTGCTCTAAGGGTGAGGATATAGACATTTTGATTTGTCTGTTTCACAGAGAAAGATGAGATACATAACATCCCCCCCCAAAAGGCTTGCTTATTAAATCATAGGTGATTCTGCTATAAAACCCTCTGTCCAGCCCCCTGGGCCAACTCATTATAGAATGTTTACATGGACATTGTCTGCCCATGGACATTCATATTTGAAACATGCCTTCAAAAATCCAAGAAAACCCTGGACCGTAAGCTGACTAACCAGTGCTCTTGATATCTCAGGATACTCCATAAAGCAAAAAAGTGTTAGGTTTGAGCCCAGTGTCGCATGGGTCATCTCAAGTGGGAGCACTCTTCCTGTACCTCCCAAGGTGGCTCATGAACTGAACTGAGCACTGACCTGGGAGTGCAGGGCCAGTTCTGGTCTGCCTCTCTGATCCTCATTTTACTGGTTTGTGAAGAAGAAACACTAATGCCTTACTGCCTCACAAAACATTATTTATAGCTACACGTTTTTCTTAGCAGGTCCATTTGTGAGCTTATTGGTTTTTCTTCCCCTCAGCTTCTGTACTATTTCTCCCCAACTGGACAGCCTTGTTAGCTCTCATCAGAGTTAATAATCCTTGGGAAAGAACCTTTTGTTCTGTGATGTCATCATAAGGTCAGGTACTGGAGCCCAAAAGAGTTTTGAGTTTTAGTGGCAGTATGGTTACAGGTTAAGAGCAAGTATCTGATCTCCTCCCCTGTGGAATTGCTGGGGCTGTTTGTTTTCACCAGTTTTCTAAGTAGTAAGTTCCATAATTCTGTTTATCCCATTAGACAACTGAGACAGTATGTAGAATGTTGAACTCCATTATTCATAATACTACATATTACCCATAATGCACAGTCAGTGCATATTGGATGAGCTCTTGGTTGCTGTTGTCTCACTCTGTATATAACCCCAAGTTAAAGTGACACATAACCAGCCAGACAGTGTTGGCACACACCTTTAATCCTAGCACTTGGGAGGCAGAGGCAGGCAGATTTCTGTGAGTTCAAGGACAGCCTGGTCTACAAAGTGAGTTCCAGGACAACCAGAGCTGCTATACAGAAAAACCCTGTCTTGGAGGGGGGAAAAAAGTCACGTGTAACCAAAAAGATTCCAAAAACTTGTCCAAGCTGCTTAGCAAGACTCTGAAATAGACTCTAGAATACCTGGGGTGAGGTCACTTGCTATAAGAAAGCACTACTCTGTACCTTCTGGATCCTGTGACGGTCCCTTCTGAGCACACACTTCAGATGAAGTCTGAGGACCCATCTTGTTGACAGAGAGGGAAATGAAGTGTAGTACTTGTCATAACAGCAGAGCCTGCGTGACTTTGGACAAGATACTCCAGTCTGTGGCTTACTTCTTCATGTCCTGTTCATCATAGGCTTGTAGTTCTAAGCCATTTAGTAGCTTCCTCAGAACATTGCCAGGCATAGCATAGTAGTAAGCATAGCAAATGTCAACTGTTATTATCAGAAATGTGTCTATGACTCTTCCAGATTTTTGCTCTGGTTAGCACTGAGGGAGCTGTTGTCCTGTACCTTTCTAGAATGAGCTGCTGAGATCCTCTTGAAAATGCTACTCATGCCCATGAACTGAGAGCGGTCACCACCTGTCACAGAGCCTTAGTAATAGTCTTTCTAAGCCCTTTCCTTCCTATTGGCTTAGGTCTCTCCTCAGGCTTCACTGAGGCAAGGATCAGAGCCAAGAGCCTGGTGTTACACAGAGAGAAACTGGCTTGAGGACTAAAGCCACACAGTGACAGCACTGGGTTTAAGTGCCTCCCTCCAGCCTGTACCTGTGTTCAGTGACAGGACAGACAATTCTGACTTCCCTAAGTTGCTTCCTGAACAGTGGCCTGGCTAGAATACAACAATGGACACCTCCCTCTCAATGTCCCAGTGCTGTGTTGCCCTCAGCTCTTGGAAGCAGCAGTACTGTGCATTCTATAAGAGCTTGGTAAGGAGAGAGGAGCAGAATTCTTTGGTAGCCAGATACCCATGAAGCCCTCATACATAGCTCCAGGTATCCATTTCAAGGAAGGGGCTCTCTACCTCTGCTAAATCACACACTCTAGCACCTCTTTCCCTGGCACTAACTGTGGCCTTCTTCCTAAAGGGCTACGTTTTGGGAAATTAGCCCATGGTGGAGAGAGCTGATCTACAGAGTCATCATAGATACCTTATAAGAAAAAAAAATGTAAAAATAATAGCTGTGTGCTATAGCAGAAAAACAAGAGGACATAGCCAGCCAGCCAACACCCCACAC